CTAGCGCCGCTACAGCGTAACGCCACGTCCGCCGGGAACTTCGCGTCAACTAGGCTCGGGTACGAACAACAACACGGAACTCTCGTTAGAATTCGTAATTTTATTTTACACGCCGATCGCCTCACGGTTCCCAGTAATTCCACACCGAGGCGCAGTGCGTTACTCTCCGAGTGGAAGTTCGTAAATTAGCAAGGACAGCGGAACGGCGTATTACGCTTGTTACTTACGATCCACAAAACGAAATGGAAAACGCGGAAAGCGTAAAATTGCGGCGTTCGGCGGTAAATCGTGCGTAAGCTCTACACGCCCACCGTTCGAACCGTAGCAAACCGTCGCTGGCACCAGTTCCCGAAGACGTAGCGTGGAAGCCCGTTACGAATGACATAACGGCAACTTCGATCTTGCGCCAGCACGGAGAAAACGAGGCAAAACACGTAGGGATAATGCCGCGAACCGCGGCGATACCAGGAAGGGGAGCCGATATTTCGTTTCTTCGTCGGATCGTTGCGGTCGGTTCCTAGATCGGCGAAGGGGACAAATCGAAACGAGGAACAAAACGAACGGTGCTTGGGCATCAGGCGAAAGGGCTATCGGCATGGTGGAAGAGGGAGAGACGGTCGCGATCGAACCACGGGAAACAGTTCTGGCGAATGAGGAAGAAACGTGGCGAAGAAACACGCGAACCGAAGTTACTTCGATGATGCTTCCAGTGGATGGGGAAAAATGTTTATTACTTCACGATTTGTTCCGCGTACCGTTACCAGGCTCCTCCGGTGACGTGATTTCTGTTGCACACGTCTGCGTGCAGTTTTGTGCCTGTGCCCGTGATAAATTTCTGGGAATACGCGATCCGTGTTGAAGATTTCAACGATTTTCAGTTTGAAGTATCAATTTCGAACACATCTCTGTGAGTATTATACGAAATCGTAGATTAAGATTCTATGAGAGATGTGATAATGTATATTAAAATACTGCCTTCACCGAGGGGAGTCGTATAATATAAATGCATGTAAACGTTCTTGCTAATTGTTAGGTTTAGCTACCTCACTTGACAAGTCATAAACGTCAATTGAGCAAGTTATAGGAGCCAATGGCAGATTATATCTACCATATTTTAAAGTCATCCGCGTTATTAAATATCTGCCTCGCAAACAATTTAAATCACTTGGGCTGAACGTTTATCGATGTAAATAAGTGATCGTTGAACGCTCAGCTCTGCGTCTGCTTTAAGAGTATCTACTGCGTTAACCGATGATTCGTTGAACGAGAAAACGAAAAATTTATTCGACGTATACGAACTGCGAAATACGTTCTAACTGCACCGAGACAGGAAAATAAATGAAAAAGAAAAAGAAAAAAGAAAAATAGGAAATTAATAGAGAAAAACGAATGCGAAAGGAACTATTGTCTCCGAGAGTAAATCAAATGGAAACGCGATAACCTGTCACATTCCGGAGTCGGCGGCTCTCGCAAGCGCAGCACGAAGAACGCGACCAATTATAGCCAGAAGAAAACCGAACGGTTTCCGGCGTGTTCCATTGGAAATTGCGTGGCATTCGCTAATTGCCCAGCAGAAGCGCGCGCGCACACGCATCGATGCCTCTCCCCCAATGGAACGCCGGCAGAAATCAAAAGACGTAGTCTGCCGGCAACATTTTTGGTCCGCTCAAACTGTATCGTAATTACTCGAATCGCCGGCGTAACTCGTGGCGGCTGTAATAACAACGCGAGATAATTTTATATGCATAACGCATATCGGTTAGCGAACGATACGGGGGCCACACACCGTATTCGCCGGCGCGGTTAACTATAATTTAAAAGCGTCTTGTTATATTTCTTCTCACGTTTCTCGTTACCGATCGCACACGGCTCTCCATAGTATCTATACGCGCGGAGTAGCGGAAAGCCGGGCCTCGCGCACACGTACTACGCAGCGTGAGTCGCGCGCATGCGCGTGAGGGTGTAATATAATTCAGCGCCTCCGCGGCGAGGGCGTCCTTTTCGTTCGGCCGATATAACGCGCGAATTACTTGCACGTAATATACTGCGAAACAAAGCCCGTTAACGTCACGAAACGGTAAGCTGCGAGGTATTTTGTTTAGTGTCCCGTAACTTATACTGTCCGCGCACGACTTTGTAAGAGGCAGGGTAATTGAGTACTCGTACGAAACGACTGCTAATACGGCCGGCCATTTTTACGCGCACCGTACCTGAACGTAAATCTGTTCGTCCGGGGCGATATCTGAAAATGCCCCGGCTGATTTATGGGCCGGATCAGCTAAGCGAATATATCAGCCGGTGCAGCGAACAACCGCTGCTAAACGTAACGTGAAAACTCTATTTTTACGGGATCACCTGGTGCTCGATGGTATGTAACGCTCGTAACGGTGGGTGAAAAATATGGAACTCGTGTAAGTTCGTGAATTAAGCCTATTAGAGTTGTGTATATTGCTTTGCTTATATATGCACTTGCAGTTAACTGTCCCGATATCCCAGCTTGGGTATTTTGTTTTGTTAATGTATTTCATTGCAGGAACTGGAGAGATTATTTTTGGAGACTATTCTTCGGGAAGAATAAAGAAAAATTTTGTGATAAAGAAATAAAATATCGTATTTCGGTTATCTTAAACTTTTTGGTTACTTTCCTATTTTTGAAATATTATTTTAATATTTTATTATTATACAGACAACTGATTAGTTCTTTCAAAACAAAATGAGAAGTTTTATTTGGAGCCTGCCATATTCTAATCATTGTTATATTATTAAATTATTCTAATAGTAATATTTTATTTTAATTTTATTCTATCTTTATATCTAACTATTCCTACATTTTACACGACTTGCATTTATATATTTATATTATATCGAGACAATAAAACAGTGGAAGATAAATATAAGCCTAACGAATGCAAGAGTATGGAAGGAAGTGAAAGAAACAGTGTATCACTGAAAGCGATTATAAATTACAAATCTGTAGGATCTGTAAAATTCTCTAGACAGGCTAGAAGATATCCATCATTTATTTACATATACAAATTATGTATACATAAAATTCTGTACTAGAAACCTGTTCCTCTGGCATAAACCTGTTCCTTTAAAAGAATCTCTAAAAGTATTTGTGCTAATTCATAAATTCTTTATTAGATGAATAATAAAGGGTAAGAAAATGCATATATTATTTTCTCTTTTCATAATTGTGTCTGCTTGAAATTATATTAACATTGATCGAATATTTTATTTCTATTTAAAATTGCATGCTCGTAAATTAAGTTGCATCAATGGGCATGATCGTCGCATTTCATTAGCATAATCATCATAAATCTTGGACGAAGCTTTTATCACTCATTTTATTTTTATACGTTCATTTTATATTTCTCTGCGTAAAGTTACATGTAACTGTAATAACGCTTTGTAAAAATAAAGCAGATAATCCCTATCCCATGTACCTTCCTCCATTCTAATAGACTAAAAATTTTGCCATTGAACAACTATCTTCTACCCGAACAATTAAATATCTGTTACAATATAAATTTCATTGTCTATCGATTACAACCAAAAGAAAAAAGAATTATCTATTAATTACAATACAAAAATTGTACTGTAATGTAATTCTCAGTTTTCTTTTGTTACCTTTGTGAATTAATCAGACATTCTGTTCGCAGTTTGCAGCTACTTTGACTTGATAATTTCATGTAAAACACGCACTGCAGGGTCAAATTATTTCTTCACTTTGCAGAAACCAATTTAGCCTACTATTTTATTACTGACATTATTCAGCTGCTCTCTGCATCATCCATTATTCATAATGTAACCTGACGCTCGATATATTCATCAAACTTTTCACAGGAGGAAAAATTCTGGCACCTAGTCTAACGATAAAGTAGCCACAGATCAAATATTATAATCGACTTAAATATTAAAATGAATCTCGAAGAAAATATGCATTAACGTGATAAGAATGTTGAAGCTATGTTATCGCCATAAGAAACACGGAAAGATTAAGTTACGAGCATTTTGGAAAAATATCCAACAATAATGAAACGTAAATGTCAGTTCCCTTATTAATAAATTACATTGGCACATTACGAACAATCATCAATGGTCGTTCCCGTGTCTGAATATCATTACTCTCGAAGCAATTGAGAAGTGAAATTTGCATTCAATCGTAGAAAGTATTATTCTTACACGCCTAATGCTTCTACACAAACCTCTCCCCTGAAATATTATCATAGGAAGCAGAGGGTCTTACGACATTCCTCCTGCAATTCTCTTTGCAATTTTCATGTTTTTTCTTTTTTTTTCAAACGAGTACAACTTCGAAAATTAATTTATAGTTTCATCGGAAGATGATCATCGCAAGATTTATTGTTTCAGACGAGCACAATCGTGAATGCAATTTCAAAATATAGATGTGAGAGTACAAGTGCTATCTATTAAAACAAAATTGGTTATTTTATATCAATTAATTACTCTTTATCTTTTACGACTTGTTATCTTTGTTAGTAATTCACAAATATAAAATGATGTTCATGAAATTATTTTTAAAAATTAAATTCTCTAAATACAGTAATAAGAACTAGTTGAAAAGAATATAATAATTCCATCTGCGATTATAAGCTATCTACCATTATCATTTATGTATACAAATGATAGTAGTCAATCTCAACTTAGGACTAAAAAAATATTTCATAATTATATTTATAATAAAACAATTTTAACTATGACACAAATAAACTTAAAAATCTTACAATCAAACGAATTTATTATTTATTCACTCTACCTACTTTTTAAGACTCTATTAACATCAGAATAGTATTATAAATGTGTTAGTACAGTCTCCTATATTTTTTTTAAATTATTAATCAGAGTTAATGGAAAATTAGAGCTTAAGGAAAATTAAATAAAATTTTAAGAAACGAATTAGATAGAAGTTGTATAATTAAGTGACATAATTAACTGAACGAAGTACAAAACTTTATTTCTATTTTCTCTAATTCCAGGGTGGTTTTCTGTGATATCTGGCAACAATACAACCGGAAGTGCAAGGGTCTACAGAAGAGTGGACTCCCTAGTGCGAGCAGGGGTGCCAGCATTTCTGCTGGCTGCACCTTTAAGGGCATACATTTTAACCCACTCGAAAATGGGTAAGTGAAAACAGAAAATAAAGAGTAAACATCGCGATAAAATCTGAATTCGTGTTATATCACTCGTGGAACACATGCACCACTCCTTACGATAGCTCGTTAATTGTGCAAACTGTGAATTAACTTTTTGTATCATCGCGTCTTCGCCAGTTGATCAGTGTCTCTATGAAGATTTAATTAAGATCGAGAAGCGAGGATAAACAGCGAGAAAATGCAATTGAGATCGAGAACGAAAAACAAACTACAACAGCGAAGAAACTGAAAAAGAAAATTAAAGAAAGGAATACGTGAGAAGAAGTTGAATAAACTGGCTGCTCCAAGGTGTTCAAAAAATTCAAACTAAGATAACAAAAACAATTTAACGAACGAGTTATAGATAAGCCGTGAATGAAAACAGCGAAAGGAAATATTCCAACGCGTTGAAAGTGAAACTAAAAATATCGTGACAAATGAGAAAGGAAATAAATGGAGGAAAAATACAATTTGGGAATTTAAAAAAATTACAAAATGTTCCAAAATTCCAAAATGAACGATAGATTGGTCCAAGGTATAGAGAGATTTAAAAGGGAGTGTAAACGAAGAAAAAATGGCGTATAATCGAGGCTACGAGGGAAAAAGAATGAAGTACGAACAAGAAGAGCAAAAGGAACGAAAAGGGTATAAAAAGGTGACAGAGGAGGCAAAGAAAGCAAGAGACGGAAAAAGGAGCAAAAGGGAGAGAGGAATAATGACACACGTGAATGTAATATCGCTCGTAATGTCAAGCAGCAACGTTCTTGACCTAAATGCATATAAATATCAGTGTTCGTACACTTGGCTTGGTAAAAAGAGAAATATGGGGAATGCGCAAATTATACGTTCCAGGCGGTAGCAGAAAGTTAAATGCGGTAAATGGAGTATACAGCAGCGGAAATATACAAAGCAGTGATATAAGAGGTATACCGCGAGAGCCTTAAAGTTTCAGTTTCTCTTCTACTCCAGGAATTGCCGACGTTGACTTCAAGGGATACGATACCATGCATTTTCTGTAGAATAAGATATCACATATGGTCATTGAGAAATAACAAGTGGATTAAAGTCATATTTTTTAATGTCAAAACCTCGGTAGCATATTGTATTATATTATAGAAAACTGAACGTCTACCCTAAACAGAACCCACTCTACTTACTCTCATGAAGGAAATGATATTGCATGAAATTAACAATATATTATACATGTATTCTGTGTACAAAACAAAATAGAAAGAACAGAGAGCATGTTTGTAAATTGAAAATAATACTAGTATACTATGTATTATATATATATATAAAAGTTATATAATTTGCAATATCTACATTAAACTCTGTGTTTTGTCTTTTCTCCTATTGTAAGAAACCTAAATATTTGATAAAATAATTGATATTATTATAATGAAATTAGTAAAGAGAACTATAATTCATTACATCATGTATAAGATAAGATTAGGAACTTTTTCAATCCCGATTATCCATACTAGAACTTGAACCAGAAATTGTTGTTGCAATTGAATTACATAGCTATTGTAACATTTGTTTCTGAACATAAGATTATGTTTGTCTCCGCCAGTTCTAAACCAAAATAAAACGTGAAGAAAAGCTTTATAACCGCAAATCGTAAACCGCAAACGACAAGAATTCCACCTGTGACCGCAAATGATTTAACCACAATTGGAACTATTCCATCGACCGAAAATATGTATAAGTACATCGAACCTAACTCGATCTCATCTTATGCCTAATTTACCCTGTATCGTATTTTTCAATCAATTGAAGGAGAATGTAATAAAAAGGAAAGATAAATATTCAAAATATTGCATGTAATCAACATAATGTTTTTTATAAAAATTAAAATGTTAAAAATATTTAATTTATAATATTCAGCATAAAACTGAAGAATGATAGGGCATATATGTTGTAAAGTATTCACTAACAATGTGAAAACAAGTATACAAAACGACATGATAATTATTGATTATTATTGAAATCTCTGTAGACTAATATACTCATTAACACCTTGTAGAACTGAGCAACCATAGGGCAATTATAATTACATAACAATGGTTTTCCATAATTTTAGACTTCAACTTACATACGGATATAAAACTAGCAATTACTTATTATAGATATTAAACATAATAAATTGATAATAAAAATAATGTTAATTTATAAAATTATAAAATAATATACATCTTTCCAGTCTACTACATTAAAGTTCAATTAAATTTTGTAACCACATCTATCGAAGAACGTCAAAATTATTTACCTACAATTGTTAAAAAGAATACTTCCTTATCATTTACCTACAATTGTTAAAAAGAATACTTCCTTATCGTCTGTATAATTTCTGTACTTTTACCTCTCTACTTTTTGTTATCCAAGACAATCTGAAAAATATTACAAATTTAAAATCGTATAGTTTTCCAGTGTTCATATATTTCAATTTAACCTTTGTAATATTTTTTAATCATCAAAAAATATTCTGCATTAATTTTGTCTCTTAGTCCAAAAATCTTTATCTATTTGCAGAAAATGG